AAAGTAGTCGTTGAGCGCCTCAACCTGCGGCAAGAGACAGAACTTGTCAAAGACGCGCGTCTTGCCCAGCAGGGCGAGGATGCGGTTCGTCTTGTACCCGTCGAAGAAATTGCGGCCTACTTGCGGCGCGCGTCCATGCAGTCGGTCGATTTCAGCCAGAGCTTCGAGAGCTTCTTGCTCGCTGAAGGCGTTGGGGATGACCACGTAGCCGTCTTCCAGGACGCGCTCGACCAGCGAGCGGATGGTCGGGTCAGACGGGGGAGGGCGTTTTCGCATGCCGCGCTGGTAGTAGGACTGGTCGACGGGGTCTCCTGCCAGAGGGTCGCGTGTTTTCTCTGCTGGCTTCATCCTGTATATGTTTCACTTGATGTTGTGGCGAGTTCTGTGAAAGTTTGTTGTCTCCGGAAAGTGCTAATTTCGCGGAAAAGATGGAAGAACGCCATTCACGTGGGTGGGCGCGGGGCACCCTGTCGACTCTTATAGGGGGCTGATCTCCAACGCGCATGGATCATCTCGACTTGTCAATGTCACCATACCCCCACCAAGCTAACTTCCGAATCATCGGCCATCTAAGGCCATTAGCTCCAGACGGCTAACGTGGGATAAAGGTAAGCATGGAAGGATGGAATGCTGGAAATTACAAGGAGTAATGTCAGCTTGGACGACGACTTGCCTAAACAATACAAGACGGTGTTTTTAAGACTCGCGGCATTTCTCGAAGCTGTAGAGCCCTTGCATGGCTCGTTCATAAGTTGCAACTTGACGATGAGGCATTGAAAAGTGCAAAGCTAGGCGGACGTTGAGTATGACCTGGAAGAGAGGCTACTGAAATGGCATTTAGAATAGGGCGTAACAGACAATCTAGGTGCGTTTAAAGTCCCGAGCTAACCTCTCTAAGGGTATTGAGGAGGCATCTTGTCCATTAAATACTTATTAATATCCGTCTATCAGACGATATGGTTGATTTGTAATGTAATAATACTAATCCCTTACAACTGGGTAACTCCGAGTCATGATTGTGTTGTGGATAGGATTACTCACCTACATGGCAGAATTAAATATGGCAAGTCTCGAGAAAGGTAAAGGTATCTGGCATTGCATTTCTGCTCAACCACTCTGTCATTGCTTACCTCGTGTCTGTGCTGGTTCTCAAAGGCGAAAAGAGAGAAAAAGAGAGGAAGAAAAAAAGTCGAAGAAGCTGGGGTGACTTGCTGGATCCGAGAATCGAACCCGCCACCTTACGAAAAAAACCTGAAACCTGAAACCAGTGACATTTTTCATAGTTGACTATGTTGAGCAGAGACTCGCTGCGCCAACGTCCAATCGTACAGGGCGATATCCCCCTGCTGAGGTCAACTTGGGAATTCGACCCGCGACCTGCCTTATAAACTTGCGCACTCTTCCATTTAGCGAACCCGGAGTCACTGTAGGACCAACCCGGACCGCGCACCATGACGAAGTTTAATGAAGTCCCAACACCTATCTGTATTTCCAACATAAGCAACCAAGAATTGTAAAAAGGACACGCAGATATAAAAAATACATAATGGCGTGCATTCGTCTTAGAAAATTGGATGACGTTCAAAACAAAGCTAAATCTAAAGACACCGATGCGTGTGATTCGTTGTACGGGGAGGGCGGCAAAGATAGCTACGATTGCAGGTCATCTGGCAATGTTAAAGAAAACAATGGGAGGGCGTTAGGTCTCAGCCGCAATAAATTTCACCCACTGAAAACCCTCCCCAAATGGCTACGGAATATCACGAGAGTTTGGTCTCAAACGGAAGGTGGGGAAGGCAGGCACCTACCCGTGGCTTGATGTTAGCCTGGCCATATGACAGCGGTATGACGTAGATTCGCATTCGCGTGCCTGGGAAAAGAACAAACACGTCTTTCTCTCTTTGCAGCCCAGCAAACACCTCAATCGCTCTCCATTGTACCCCAATTTAAAATCAGACCACTTCAGCTCTTCGCACGAAACTCTCGCCGCAACAAAAAAAGACCACACCACCACCACCAACAACAGCAACCACCACTAACATCTACCTTCGCGAAAGAAACCAACTCCGCAAACATCATGGCGTCCAAGCCCATCGCAACCACCAATGAGGTGCGCGAAAGCGTCGTGATCCCCGCGCCGCTCTCGCACGTCTGGCACTTCATCAAGTTGCAGACCTTTGATCAGTTCTGGCCCAACATCACCAAGTCGGAGCACGTCAAGGGCGTTAGCAGCGACACGGACGTAGTCAAGTGGACGTTCAAGGACGGCAGCGTCATCGAGGTCAAGCAGGACGAGCACAGCGTACGTCTTCCTCTCCCCAAATTTGCTAACCTTGATTGTGCGGCTAATTGATGTCATTTTGCAGAACTTGGACCACTTCATCACCTTCAGCATCATCAACGCCGAGCCCGAGCTGTCGTATTCGAGCGTCGTCAACACGATCCGCTGCTGGCCCGTGACAGCGGGCGATTGCGCCAACTCGACGTTTGTCCAGTGGACGTCCAAGTTCTCGAGCGATGCTGACATTGGTATGACATCCTGCTACTGTTGTTTCTATTGATTGACTGTGCACTAACATACGTTTTGTTTCTCTGCAGGTGTGATCGAGGATGCCAAGTACAAGCGCCGCGACGCACTCAAGGGCCTGGGTGAGGCTGTCAAGAAGATGGGAAAATGAAGGAAAATAAGAGACGGAGGGACTGAGAGCTGGTGGACAAAACAAATACTGGGAGACTCTAGTGGGATTGGAATCACGGGAGTCATTTTGTACAGTCATGGCATGTGCGGACTGTCCCAGAGTCCCAATTGACTTCGCACGGCATTTTGTCGATCTGGACACATATTGTTAAAGAATGGCCGCCATGCCAGGCGCTGATATATTGTTAATGGCGACACATAATAATGAAGGACGTCAGTCTATTGCCTGATTTATTTTCGTGATGCCTGTACGTGAATACGCATTTCTTGTAGACCTGCTTGTCCAGACCAGCTTTCACTTTTCATGCTGGTGCTTGTAAGCTTTCTAGATCAGCCGCCTGAGATGATTTCAACTGGCATAATTTCAAGTACCAAACGTCTCAGTCCGTCTTAAATTAGACATGAGATACAAAGTCTTAAAACGTCTTGTGTAGGTTCAATAGTTGTTGTCTTGTTTATGTAGCCGCCTTCTAATATTTCAAGGAGACATGATACTTGTCTTGGGAAGATGTCATACTCTTCATGAAGGGCTTTTTGGTGTTTCCGTCAAGGGCTTCTACTATTTTTGATAGTCGCTCTAAGTACTTATTGAACTACCTAATTTAAATCAGAATCCTTATCCGTCGGCGTGATCGGCGAAACCACATCGTTATCGTTGTCGTATTCTTGGGGGACTTGTCTCATGCCCATGCCCATGTATAACGTCTCGCCGTCCAGTTCTCCGGTGGTCGGATAGCTCGGCAACTCTTGCGCATGGTTGTTCTCCTCCGGTAACTCTGTCGGTTCCACGGCAGGCCCTTCAAGCTCTGCTACATCCACGACGCCTCGTTTTTCTCTGTACACCAAAGAATGGTTGTCGTCGTCTTCGCCGCCATCGAGTTTTGCGCCTCGTATTTGAAGTCGTTGGCATCGAGTCCAAAACAGCCAGATCCCAGCTCCGAGAAGAAGTAGCACGCCGCTCACGACACCGCTGGCTATACCCCCGATTTGTCCCGTCGTCAGGGCCTTGCCGCTTGATGTTGTTTCCCCTTCCCCGCCGCCGCCAACGGCCGGGCTGCTGTTTGTGACGAAGGATTGAGCGTAGGTCATGACTGCCGCGGGCACGGGTGTCCTGCTGTGTACTTCGACATATGTAGACGGTCTCGCCGCTGGATTATCATCCACTGAAGGACTCAGAGATGACGTCTGCCCCCCCGTTGGGACGATGAGACGGTCAACGGCCGTGATGCCCTCGCCGATCACAGACGTGATAGTAACAGTGGCTGCGTTCGATTGGGTAGTTTTGAAAGTCGTCTGCGACAGCTTGAGCGTGAGAAGACAGGCCGTCTGAGGCTGGCGCTCGTCACAGATGTAATTCCCTGGGCAGCATCCGCCTCCCACCGTCGCCGGGCAGGGGATGTATCCCTTGTGGCCCGGGCATTCCGAGTTATTGCTTATCACTGTCGATAACGTGGTGATGCTAGTTTGGAAATTGGATAACGCTGTCACAGAAGGGGGGATGCAGTTTCGAAGCCCGCATGAAAAGCCCAGTGGGCAACAACCTCCGCCGTCGGCATCGGCGCACACAAAGTACCCTTCCGTTCCGCAACTCTCGGGCATGAACACCGCTGCCCTTGTCGTCTGGGAGAATGCTCGGCCGGAGAAGAGGAGGAGAAATGTGACGACAAGACGGAAGAGGGGCCGCTGCTGCCTGAGCAAATCGAACATGTTGCGCATCGGCATGTGTGAAAAGTACCCTCGCTCAGTGACAGCGAGGGGAAAGAACGAATGAAAGCTGCCTGGCTGTCCCAAAAAGGAACCTGAGGAGGATGGATGTCGCCAGTGAAATTCCCTCGCCACGCCTGCTGCCAGCACGGAGGAAAAACAGTTGAAGAAGGGGAGATTGCCGTTTTCGCAAAATTACACGAGGTGATGATTAGGCAGCCATTTAATGCACTTCGTGTTGGTAGTCGCGGACTCGTGTTGGTAAGTAAACAAGGAGTATGCAAGTGATGACATTGGGATGGACCAACAACAGGTGTGATTGTCAAGGGTATCATTGCATAACACGGGAGCCAACAGTGCTGGGCGCACACGCGGCCTCGTCCATTTTAGGATTTTAAGTTAGGTGCGGTATAAAATTGGCCATCGAAGAATTTATTTAATACTCCTCGGATATCCTCGCATTTATTCCGAGTCGTGAATGATTCAACAGTTGGGACGTGCGTGACTGACTCGCTGGTAATGGCATCGGATCAAAACTTCGAAGAGCCTGGCTACCGAGCCCGAAACACAGGACCAAATAACTCAATTGAGTTCAAAAGCCCGACTAGCGCAATGGTAGCGCGCATGACTTCTACAGGTTCCCCCTTTGGGAGTACATCATGAGGCTGTGGGTTCGAGTTCCACGTTGGGCTTTCTTTTTTCGTCTCATCAAAGAGGATACCTCCTTTTCATGGCGGTTGATATGCTCCACAAGGAGGCGGCGGGGCGTCAGAGTTATCACTCTAGGGGATTGTGTCTATTGTGATGAGTTAACTCTATATATATCCTAATTATACTCTTTCCTCGTAAATAAGTGGTTAATGTTTGAGGGAAGTAATTCCGCTAAGAATATAACATTGTGTTTCTTGCTAAACTTTGAAGATGCTCACTACTTGATGAGATCTCGATACTGTAACTGCCTATTGTATCTAAAAAGGGGGCCCTTCTTTCTACAGCAAGCTAAAGAAAAAGGAATTCCGACACTCTATTAAATGAAAAACTAATCAAGTTCCTAGATCCTTATTCATTCCGTCATGTTTTTGCTGTTTTGCGATTCATCCAGATATAATTAACAAGTGATGTCAACGAACGCCCTAAACCCCCACCCATTCTTCTATCATCCGTCTCAGTGCCCACCAATCGGATCCTGACTCTGACCCTCACTCTGACCCTCACCCTGACCCTCACCTTGACCCTCACCTTGACCCTCACCTTGACCCTTAGCCGGAGCGACATACTCGGGCGCGTCCTCAGCCGCCGATGACCTCTTCGACATCTCAACCCAATAGTCACACTCCTCGAACTTATTCTCCGGCACCCACTCGACAAACTTCCACCGCAGCGGGTTCTTCGTATCGAAGATCAGCTTTCCCTCGGGAGTACCGTTATAAGTCGAAATCTGGTTGCTCCAGACGGGCGGGGCATAGCACTCGGAGATCTTCTTGCATCCCGGGCCTATCTCGCGGAACAGCTTGCCCAACGCCTTGATGCTGACCCTCATGAAACCGATGTACGGCCCGCCCGGACCGGCGAACTGGTGCCAGCCCGAATCTCCGACTATCTCGACCCACGGCTCTCTTTCCTCTGAAGAAAACAAGCGAGCGACTCCTCCGTCACGACGAGGAAGCAATGGCACAGCACCAGGGACGGCCACCACCTCAGCTTCTTAGCCATCTTCTTGCGCTCCCTCTGGGATTCCACCCCCGCGATGTGGGCCTCGATCCGGGCGTCCCGGTACGCGTCGACCCAGCCGTTGAAGCACTCGCGCAGCCGGATGAAGTGGTCGGGATCCACGCGCGCTATGCCCGTCATCCACTCCCAGTCCAGCGACCGGTTGTTCATAACGGCGAGGGTAAGGTTCTCGGGCTTCAGCTGGTCGGCGGGCGGTCCCGGCCACCACCGATGCCTCAGTGCTGCGGACGACGGCGTCACCGCCGGCGAATGCGATAACATGCCGGCCCGGAGCTGGGCCGGCGCGTTGGCCCACTGGGCGTCATCCGTGGCCTTGTCGGGGTGGTACGACGTGCGAAGGACGATGAAGCCCCAGTTGTCGGGGGTCAGATGGGCGACCGCGCCGAAGAAACTGTGGGCCTCCATACTGTAGCTACCTTCCATGTTGGTTGGCAATGTAGGTAGTTTTTTCTTGCTGATTGGTTCCAAGTGTGTGTGTCGACGAAAGGGCTTAGTATTGTGTAGGCTCTCCTTACCGAAAGATAAGACAGCGTGGGAACGTTTCTGAGCAAGGACTTAATGGACGAGAGGGCAACGAAAAGGCAAATGATCGGGAGTTTCCACGAGTTCTAAGGAAATAGGAAGGTATCAAAGAGAAATAAAAGGTCGGCGACTTAAGTAGTAGCGTGTTTGCAGTTTTGAGACGGCTGCCGTGCTGCCGTGCTGCTTGGAGAGGACATGCTGTGATAAAGTGCGGCTTAGGACTGAGTAAGGTAGCTAGTTCAGCGAGAATCGGAAGGACGTGATAAGAATATGAAAGGAGAGAAAAGTTTCTCAGTTCATGACGAGCGACGCCCTCATGTTTTAAAGGGGAATTATTAGGGAGAGGTGCGGAGCACCAGCAGCACCCACCACTTTGACCTCCCTTATTCCGACGCCATGTCTCACCGCCGTCCTGCTATGCGCATACCGACAGTGTAGAACACTGTTTGAAAACGCACTCCTCGGAATCAGCAGACTAGGAGATGGCGCTATAGTTCAAACGAGGCAGACCGACCCCGCTTGTCACGTTCGTACTGTGGCCGTTATGCAATTCTCACGTCTTTATTTCATATCTCGCCCAAACCTCTTCTCGGCACACATCCGTCCGGCTGCGGAGACCAAGCTGAACACGCTACCAACAGGACAATTATGATCGGCAACTGCCCAGCCAATAGGCCCTCCTAGGTCGGTCCGATGGCGAGCAAAATTTTTATATTAGGAGGTTTTGTACCACCTCCGTGAAACCTATGATCGACGGCTGAGAAGATCGTGGATATGTTTTTTTTTATTTACATCAAAACGACTTCGCTTATTTTTGATGTGTTTCTCTACTCAAATGTCAGATATGGCAATGATCAAGCCCCTATGTATTGCCAGCCACAGCGGCCGATCAGGAGCCACCTCATTGCCAAAGAGTGCCCATATCATGCAATGCCTTATGTGGTGTCTCATGTGATGCCCCATTGGCCTGGTCTTTTCAGTGAGCCGTGGGGCAAGAGATTGGGAATCTCTGCGTTGCTTTCCAGTTCTTTAAACAGGAGCGTGAGTGAACAAATACGACACCGACTCGCCTGTTTCTCGAGTTAGCACCAATGGCAAAGGTCAGAGAGAAGTGTTTCATACCGTTGTGGGTACGGCGGATGGCCTAAGAAGAAAATGTTAGCCAACTGAAACAGTTGTCCATCAAGGTTATGCACATACCTCTGCAATAGTCGGGCTAATGTCAATTACACGGATCTTGGGGCACCGCTCAACCTTGTCCCCAAGAGGAACGGTATTCGTCACTACAAGGGCGGAGAGAACGCTGCCGTTGAGCGTCTCAATAGCTTTACCAGACAGAATTCCATGAGTCACAAGTGCCAAGACCGACTTTGCGCCGTTCTCCTTGAGCACTGCGGCGGCCTTGACGAGAGTGCCTGTTTTTCATAAGATTGTGACCTGGAAGAATTTTCATGGTATGAGCTTACCGCATGTATCGGCCATGTCATCTAAAACAAATCAGTTTCGTTGTTCGGGGTTATATGAGTCCGACGTGTGGAACGTAAGATCTGGCTGGGGTTACTAACCAACAAGAATCGCGACCTTATCGGCAACGCTACCGACCAAGACCTACCGCATCAAAGGGTCAGTGCTTGTCTCGCTTTCATCCCGATTAAGTGTTTTTTTACCATGCGGCCAACAACATTGGGCCGTGGGCGCTCCTTGTGGATCAGAGCGAACGCGGTGTTGAGGTGATCAGCGATGGATGTAGCTCTTCGTCCATGTCAGTGCGAGCTTTCCCCACTGGATTCCCGAAAATACGAACCGCTTTGCACCACCGGCATCCGGGGACACAATTACACAATCCTCCGGGTCGAAGTTCTCCCGAATATAGCGAAGGAAAGAAGGCTCAGCGTAAAGGTTGTCGACCGGGATATTGAAGAAGCCTGTTCCACTTCAGTGAGTAAAGGAATTGACAGAAAGAAAGCCATGGCGCCTTGGAAAGTCTGGCTATCTGTCGGTCGGGGGACGATATCGCATACCTTGAATCTGTTTCACCCCATTGTTAGGTCACATATACCAAAAAACTGGGAGAACCGTCCCGGCCTCGGAGATGGGATCTTACCTGAGAGGCGTGCAGATCGACGGTGACAATGTCTAACCCTAAGTTAGTGCGCCAGGTGGAGTAGGAGTGACTGGAAAAGACTCACGGTTGGCGCCGGCGGTTTGCAGCATATTGGCGACCAATCTCGCGCTGATCGGCGCTCGCGACTGAAGCGCATGGTCAGCTTGTCTCGTACCAGCGACCACGGACTGCTCAGCCATATATACCTTATCCTTCTTGTCCTGGCGAGCATATGGAAAGTTGGGGCTGCGACACCGGGTCAGCATCGTCCGTCCTCCAATTCTAATCCAGAATGATCTGCGTCTGGCGCAGCTTCGGTGGGCGGGTTTACATGACTGCTGTTATCCTCCTAGCACTATGCGACCACACCCAGAAATGTCAGCACAGTTGCGACCCAAGTTGTGGTATCCGGTGTGTTGTTGGTGTCCCACCTCGCTGTTCTGCAAGCAGAGATTATGATCAACAGCTCCATCAGCCCCTCGTTGACGTCACCCGTAGCAGTTGACTGCATGACGAAGACATCCTCGTCGCGGACCGACTCGCCGACAGTGAAGGAGGTTTCCTGGTTCGAGTAGTTGAGGGATATGGTTCTCGCGACCTCGATTCCCAGCCTGGAGAAACAAATTGTGTGTTAGCGAGTGCGCGGGAGGAAACGGTAAAACAGCGCGTTCTTGGCAGGTGTGCGCGACCGGTGTGCCTGCGATGCCCGTTTTCGTCGTTCTTTTTTTTCTTCGAGGTTTCTTGGGAAGAGAACTTCGAGCCTCTGTAGAAAAACGTACCGCTTCGCGATTTTGTCGCTGAGGTCGGGGTGGCTTCGGCCGCTGATCAACTTGATCTCGTTGGCCATTTCGGCGGACATTGCTGGAGGAGAATTCGGCTGGCCTGTCGGACGACAGACCAAGAACGTGATGAGACGATTTATTATTTGCTTGTTTCTGGCGGTGGCTGCTACTGCTGCTGCTACTGCTGCTGCAACTGCTCACTGGTTAGCGGGGCATACTCAGGCGCGGGGCGGGCTGAGACAGGCAACATGGGAGCCACTTCACAAGCAGCAAAGACAGCCGAATACCTTGAGGACCAGAAAAGTGACAAAGGCGCGAGATCTCAACGAACGGGTGTCCCTTACGGCGTTGGGTTCGAGGTTATGGGGCTTGTCGAGAAATGCAATTGATGGCAAGCTGGGCAATCAGCAAGACTGCGGCGCTTGGACGAGTCGAGCGACTCCATGGCGGGTAAGAAAAGTTGAAAGAAAATTCTGTGGAGACTCGGCACAGGCCGACCTGTTTGGGAGGTTTCCCCAGGTACCCTCTGTTAGTGTGTCGCGGTGAACATTTG